GTCCTAGTTCGGGACTCTTCATCAGTACGCACTCACTGTCAGGGCTCGAACCCAGAACCTTCTGGTTACAAGACTAACGAGCTAGCTCGTAGACCATTAAGCCACTGGGACTCAATCTGATGAAGAGTCCCCAACTGGGACGAAACAGTTGTTCAGTACTCCCAGGTTTTCCAGTGGTTCTCTAACTGATGTCAGCTCATGATGAAATCCTGTAACCAATCAAGCAAATCCCTACAAACCAATACTTGATACGAATATTATTATTCATCCTTTGGGTTCCTAGCGGAATAGAGGGGACATTTCCTTTTCACTCTGTTCGCTAAAGTCATTTTTTTAGCTGGCTCCATGATCACCCACAGGTTTTCATTTCCTTTTCATACGATCGGACTGATGAACTCGTTTGGTAGCTATTTTATTACTGATTTATCTTTGTCAGTAGTGATAAATAGAGATTCAGAAGTGTATACCACTCAGAACTACTTAGGTAACTATCCGCTGAATATAAAATATGAAATGAAATACTCCGAATGCGGAGTTTTTTTATTGAATAAAAGACTTCATAAATACTCATTCAGCAGATCAGCCTATATGATGATAATGAGAAAGTTGATCTTTTAAACAATAAGCTGGCTTCACTTGACTCCATAAAATCTTGCAGCTAGTATTGTTTCTACCTGACTTCAGTATAGATTTTTTAACCAAAGATTGATCTAGATGCTAAAAAGAAAAGACGGGCTACAAACGAATTCCAACCACTAGTCTATTATCTGCAAAAAAAATTATAATACAAAATAATTTCCAAAATATATTAAACATTATGTGTAATTCTGTTTTTTAATAATGGTGATTGTGGTTCTGTGAGCATGATTTTCTAGGAATAGGCATCATTGGAGTTAGTTTCGGAGAAGCCTTCAGTAGAATTATGCAAATATTTTGAGGTAATCATCTCACGAAACGTTTGGAAAGTTAGAATCTTAAAAGGTATAAGTATATAATTACTGCTTCAGTTACAAAAGCTTTTGAAGAGATAAAATTTTGACAACCATTCTGATAACATGGAGATAATGCGTCCCAACAACTGATTGTAGTTTCATGCAGTACACTTTTAATGACTCTTTTCGTTATGGTGCCAAGTAATTTTAATAAACAGTCTATGTTATCTTGGTAGAACAAAAGGCATTCAACTATTTGTGAAGTCGTTTAACACTCAGTGACTTAAATCAGTGTAGCGCTATTCGACACCAGTGAGGGAATGTGAATGTTTTCAATTACAAGTAACATATGTTTTATTCATAGTTCACTGGAATGTGAGTCGGTGATTCAGTGGTAAAACTCTCTTGAACCACTCACGTGGATCCATCCTTGGCCGATATACTTCTAAAACCTTGCTAGAGTGGTAGTCAGGAAGGTAAAGAGGGGGAAGGCTGGGTGTGAGGCTAGCAACCCTAACCTGTAAAAATAAAACGACAGCTATCGAAATTTCAAAGCTCTAGATTGAAGCCTTATTTTTCACTGGGAACGTTAAGGAACAAGATAATAAATCAAAATCATTGGGATGAAATGCTTAGTTTCTGTTGGTATATTGGATCCTGTTATGAACATCTCAGCTGATGTCTTAATGTTAGCATTTGGTTCATGGTGGCTAGTAAGGGAAATCATAATGCACACCACATTAAACTCTGGGTCCATCTAGTGGATGAGTGCTGCATTCGGGTGTCGGTGGGAACAATATTGTTGTACATTCAGCCGATGAGTGTCAGACAGAAGAAAACACAGAGGACCATTAACAACTATTATGAAAATAGAAAAAACAGAGTTCGACTTTTATTACATGTACTTACATTTATTTCAAAACGAATGTTTCATTCTATAGCCGATAATTTGACGCGTATGTGGAAACATTTTTATTCCTTTACGTTCCAGATGGAACATAGGATTTCAAGCTACAGATTTAGGGTTTCGATAGCAGTTGTTTTCATGTTTACAGGGTGAATTTGCCAGCTTCACATCCAACCTTCTCTCTTCATCGGCCTTACTGCCAGCTAAGTGAGGTGTTAGGAGTCCGTTTGCTGAGGATAAGTCCCCTGACCACATGAGTGGTTGACAAGCATTCCACCTCTGAACCACCAACGCACATGTGGAAACATAGTTCACTTATATTTCTTGACGAATGTAATGCTAGATATTCGGTAATGAGTGTATTTCGTTAACGAAGTAGTCGGCAATGACTCTTGGCTTTCCTGTTGAACCAAGAAGGTTTCAATACCAAAACAAACACTAATTTCATGAAATCCTCAGGTAAACTTTTCCGACTAGCATCCAACAGACATGGAACTTTAGTCTAGTATTTCCTGCCAATTCATACTTTAACAAATGAGAATAAATAAATTATAATTTAATTCTTGGTTATAAATTCTCGGGATAATTGTCAGTGAAGAATCTGTTGTCATAGTAACTTAAATCTTATTCGATAGTTATTCATCCTTCTTGATGAATTTCGTCATCTGTGAGTGGTTTTTTCCTCCAAAAAAATATCCCGAAATCCACCCATAGTGAAATTTTGTTGACTACCGTGTGGTAAGTCAATACATCACGTATGACGTAATTTTCCCCCGCATCTTACCAAATTAATGAGGGGGGGGAGAGGGAAGAACGAAAGAGATACAACTATGACGTAATAGGTCTATTGAATAATATTTGCATGCTAGGGAATAATAATAATTAGGCGACAATTTTCAAGAATCTGTCTAAATCATGAACACTATTTATGTACTTATTTATTTATTACTCAATCATTGACTGAGAAATTTTATTGTTTTTAGTTAAATAGGGGTTTTTTGTTTTCTGTTTGTAAAATGATTTGACGATTCACTGATAAGAATCGCTTTATCCCACACATATTTCATTAAAAATTTGCTTGTTATAAGCTGTCAACTAATTGACAGTGAGACAAAGGTGGGGGTGAGTACTTGCGTGTGTGTATATGTGTGTGTGCGTGCTTGCATGGGTGTGCTGTCACAAAATGCAAACTAATAACACTGAAAGTTATTCTAATTTACCTACCAGTATATTTTTGTGCAATTATGGAGTAATAATAAAAATTACTTCTATCTTGTGTAATTATTCAACTGATAACTAGAACCCATATACGATTGGACGACAGAATAGTTGACGGTTGTTTAAAAAAAAAACAATAGTAATCATAATATTTTAAACTTAAACAAAAGGACTACTGGGGGAGAATGTTGCAAATAAAATCAAGTCAGAATTCATCGTCTTACTGGAAATCAGTTAGTATGATGTTTTTTTTTTCTAACTGACGTCAGCTTATGATGAAACCTTCCAAACAATCAAAAACAATCTCTACAAAACCATTACGTGAAAATTAATCTGATACTCACTAGCGACTGGGCCTATTCAGGCAGTTAACCTAGTGTTCTAGTGTGAAGTTGTGACCAGTATGGTACAGCAGGTGGAAGGTCGGGCAGTAACTCATCGAAGAAAAATACATTGTGAAGTGGTTGCGCTATGTCTTGCATGAATTGGCAGAAAGGAGAATTCATGGGCCATTGCATAGGGTCCCAGTGGCTTGATGGTATACGACCTCACTGACATTGTAACCAGAAGGTCCTGGGTTCGAACCCTGGTGGTGGGTATGTACCGCTGAAGCAGAGTCTCAAACTAGGCTGACAAAACAACTGGCTGTCCAGTACTCACCGGTGGCTTTCCAATGGTTCTCTAACTGATGTCAGCTTATAGTGAAACCCCTCAACCAATCAAACACAATCCCTACAAAACCAATACTTGAAAGTTTTCCCGATGAAACAAAAAAAATCCAAGGAGAAAGATCAACTGTGTTTTAAGACAGCTATATTACCATAGTTTTATTTCTCCAAAGGTGTATATGTAGGCCTGCAATAGCTACAGTCAGAAAGCGTCTGAACTGCAGATGGTTTTGATAAATTTTTCTCTTTACCTTCAAACTGAACATTGTCTTTAAAGAGTTATTGTTCTTTGGCCAGTAATAAAAGAAACTGTAAGTAAAAAATTTAGAAAGTTATCCCTCAAAGGTGATTCCCCAAATGGAGAGGAAACAGTCGTTAATAAAGTGTTTTTTTCCTTTACGTACCAAGTGGAACATAGGGCTTCAAGCGAAAGCTTTGAAGTTTCGCTAGCAGTGGTATTTATTTTTACGGGATGGGGTTGCTAGCCTAATGTCCAACCTTCCCTCTTTACCATTTTTATTACTGGCCTAGCGAGGTATACGAGTTGGTAAAGGAGTGCGTCGATCGAGGATCGAACTCCGAGCCACAGGCATGGTTGTCTGTTTGAATTTGGGAGTTTTCGAATTTTTTATTTTTTGATTACAGCTTGATTCCACACCGTATTTTTGGTATAGGTGTGGAATTCTCAGCATGTGATATCAGTAGCCCAAATTTTGCAGGCCGACCATATATACCAGATGTGCGTTGGCAGGGGATCGAACTCCGGACCATATGGATGATCGGTGAGAGTCCTAACCACTGTGCCACCGACTGAATGGTCTACTAGCTGGCCTTGTAACCCGTAGATCATGCTCTCGATCCTCAGTGGGGTAATACAAGAGTACTAATGAAGAGTCCCAAGCTAGGACGTTGAGAAATGAAAGTCAGAGAAAAACAAGGTGGGTTTGTTTTGTCATGCTGTATGACTCTTCATCGGTATTCTCCTGTAACGAAATACAGGACCTGGTCCAAGACTGCTAGAACTCATACTGAACACAGTGTTAATAATCTTAAATAAATTAATCACAAGTAGAATAGTTGCCATTGGTTACGGAATTATTACTTCAGGATTCATAAATACATTCCTCAAAGATGGAAACCCGTTAAGGGCAGGAGTTTAAATCAATTTCTCTGTCAAAAAATGTATTTCAGTAATTTTTTTTTACCAAAAGAATTTATTATTTATCCTAGTAACTTCATGTGATCTTTATTCTAAATACATTTTTTCCCATTCAGGTCAAAGTCTGGTTTCAAAATAGACGAATGAAAAAGAAAAAATTACAATCACGTAATCATCATCCAACTGGTAATAATACAATGACTGGTAGTCTATCAGAAACTGGTAAAGATGGTGTCGAATGTATGCTAGAAGATGGAGATGATGAGGATGAAGATGATGAAGACGATCAAGTTGAAGATGACGCCGATGAAGATGAAGAAGAAGATGATGACGATGATGAAGGGAAGGAAGATTTCGACGAATTAGGAACTGGTAATATATTTGACAGACATCATCGTTTACATCAACACCATCTTCATCATCATCATCAGCAACAACAGCAGTATAATCGAATTTTAAGTAATTGTAACAACCATCTTGACCTTAATAATAGTAATAATAATAATAGTTTAAGAGGACAATTAAAAGAATTTACACTTTTGAAGAAAACCGATAAAAATTCAGATACAACTACTATTGAAGAATATGAAGAAGACTCATTGAAGAATGAAAAAACTAGAAGTGAACATGATCTGCACAATTTAAGTCCAGATATGTATTTGAACACCACATCATCATACTTTATGGATACTGTCAATGACTATGGAGGGGGTAATCAAGCGTTATTGACAGACATGAATTACAGTAATAGTAATAATAACAATAAAATGTGTCATCGTATGCCATTCGATAAGCTATCACATGAACTGTTTCATCCATTTTATCATTCATCAATAGAAAATAATCTAATGAATTCTGAATTTAATTTGAATCCAGTTAATATAAATATGATGAATATTGATAGAGATTTACTGTTAGATCCCTTGAAAGAATCTATGAGAAATCAGTTGACTAATCCAGATTATAATAGGTATATTAACTGTTGTCCTGGTTGGTCAACAGGGACTAGTAGTAGCCAAAATGAGAATGAAATCAATCTGTCTTCATCAACACCAACGCCAACAACAACAACAACAACACTAACACCACGAACCTCCTCTGAATCACTGAATTACTTCACAGGGTTACCACCAACGTCTAAGTGGAATAATATGCAAGCAGAATATCCTTCACCAGTCTGTTGTGTGTCGGCTAATCCATTTCATTCAGTATCAAGTCTAAAATCGAATTCTTTGAATCAGTATCACCCGCCTCATCCAAATCTTGATCTTCGTAACCATCAGTACAGTCATCCCCAACACTTTTCAACTGTAAAACAGTCTGGAATAAATGAATTGCCCAGTCGAAGTAGAAGTCCTTGTGAAGCTGAGGTATTATTGTCTGCACCAATTAATGAGCATAATCTAGGCAATAGTTTACTTGATAAAGGTGAATTGACTGTTGGTAATCAGTCATATTTGTCTCGACTTCAACGTTCTATGCTGTATCCGAATTCGAATTATCTGTCTAGTTCATGTGCTACAATAACAACAACAACAACAGGTGAATACCCTTCAAAATCATTAAATTATAATGAAAATAATTTAAATTTATTGTCCCAGTTAAATACAACATTCCTTTATGATAATGATGAGTCTACTATAGACTTAACAATTCCTAATATAAATACTTCAGTGTCAACAGGACTATCGTCAACAACTACGATGAATAACACAAGTAATAATAATAATAGTAATTTTAATTTATTCCCATTGAATGAATCTGACTATTATGCTAATCACGTTGATCCGAGTAAACAGTATAAATTTGATAATGACTCCTCAACACTACTTCAATGTTCTGTATTACCGACTTTAACATCATCGTCAACACCATTACTTGAATCAAGATTTACTTCTTGTTGGCCTACTATGAATCAAAAGTACTTACCACCGCCATCTTCTGCATTACATCTTTTAAACAACAATAATAATACTTCAAGTAATGAGGCTAACATTTCGGTAGTAGATGATTTAGACCAAAGCAGTGAATCATTTACAAGTAGTCTGAATAATAGTGAATTATCATTAACAAAAAGTATGTTCCACTCTTTACAGAATTCTACAATTCATAACCGTGAAACAGATGAAGCTAGTTTGCCGGTACCCATGAATGCATGTAACACATTCTCTAGATTTACAGATATTACTGATTGTAATAATTCAAAGAATTTTCTCTCAGCTACTTCACATCATAATAGATCCTTCAACGTGAGCACCAATGAATTGAGAAATTCATATTCCGATGAATCGAATTTACACTCGATTGTTGGTAGTAATCAACAACGTCACTGTGTGAAACAAAACACACCACTTACACAATATTCAGAATCATCACCGGATACAACATTTTCTCCTCTATATCAGTTGAACAGTGTCTTCAATCAAGTGAATCCGACTGAATTCAGTTCTATGCTTTATTCATCACCATATTTACAAAACTCACGTTCACTTAATTATCCGCCTACAACAAATATGAATGATTTAGCTATCATCACTAATCATTCACATAATTCCGACCTATTCAACAATTTAACGCATACAGTGAATCAGTCTTTCATTCAACCTACAAATATACTACTTCCCACCAGTAAATGCAGTACATCAACAATCAACAACAGTATTGGTAGTAGTAGTAGTACACCCTACTTAAGTAATTTAAGTAGTACAAGGAGTATGAGTAATATTAATATGCCACTGGCTACAATTCCTACAAACACAACTTCAATAACTTTGTCTTCAACTTGACATAGGTACAATTTTGGTAGACTTTAAGAATAATGTATTTATGTATGTATGAAAATGTATATTATAATTGTCTCTTCTCCCGTTCCAATAATTTCTTTCTAGTCCAAATGGCTTAACTTAGTTCTCGGAATGGTTTTCCGAAACTCAAAGTTACCTGTATTCAAATTCCTTCTCTGTGTCTCTCTCACATATATATATATATATATATATATATATATATATATATGCAAATAAACACTCATGAAAGGAAGCACATTGCCGATGTGATCACAGATAGTCCTTTATTTCACAAAAACGTGGAGTGATCACCTACAAATGAAAATCAAGTGAATGTGACTTCAGGTTACACTGAAAAATTTCTACATTTTGTTTAATATATACTACAAAATCATTATGAAATAATTATTTCAGAGGTGGAAATAAGGTAATTTGTATTATGAGTCTATGATGTCATAATTATTACCATCACTATTACTTCTGTTTGTCGATTATTTTTATTTTTATGTTTTTTGAAAATATTACTTCAATTTACCCCTTTTTATTCTTTCCCATCATCGTTCACTTTCCCTTGTGTTTGTTTCATACCTTTCATGAGACAATTTTGACCCAGAATAGAAAATCACAATCCCGTATTTTTAATTTTTGTGTGTGTTTGAAAGCCCTTGCTTCATTCTATCTCTCTGGACAAACAAACTAAACAACGTTGTTGGGTACGTATAAATAATTATTCATTACTATTACTAATTATTCGAAGTTAATTGTTCATTGTTGATTTCCTCATTTTTACAAAATTTTATTTAATTAATTCTACTAAACTAATTGCTGACATCAAGGCGACAAAAAAACAGTCACACCAGACACAGACACTTACATACTTGTGGAGATTTGTTCATGTTCTTCTTTTTTCTCTTTCTTCGAAACCTCATCGTTCATTCTATATTTTTTTTTATCACTCATATATGAGTGAGGATTTTGTAAAGTTCTTTTCTTTTTTGTCTTTGTTTTCTAATAATATAACTAATCATGATATATTATAATGCAATGGTCTCATATTGTCACTTCAGATATACCTTTTTTTCCTCCACCAATTTATCCTTTTCATGAATGGATGTAACAAACTAGGTGCCGATTGAAGTGTTCGATCTCATGCATTTGATTGGTTTCAAGAGTGAGCACTAGCCGAATTCAGCTTACTGTGCACTAGTGGTTGACCACAGGATGAAGTTTCCTGGAGTTCTAGGGAGAAGCCGTGACCGGTGAGGTTCGTCAGGTTGAGTGTGAGGATTAAAGCTCACCGATAACACTAGCTGATGGCCGCGATGTATATATATATATATATATAACGGATTCGCAGAAGTTAAAATCCATGGAGCATTAGATTTCATCCCTGTGGTTAAAATGGTAAGTTAAGCTTAAGTTGTAACTTAAAGGCCCTGGGTTCGATTCCTAATAAGATCATGGGTGTGTGCTGCTACAGAGTCCCAAACAAAGACGAAACAACTGTTCAGTACTCTTTGCTTTTCAACTTTCCGCCACTCGAATTCAGTTCATGACCGGTCCAGTCACCAGTTAACTAAGCTGTAATTTTCAATCATGGACTGCATTTTGACTTCAGTTAAGGGGATTTTTTCTGCGAAAGGAATCGATAAATAACAGCAAGATAACAGGCACTACTAGATGATGTGACTGGTGTCCAACTACTCACGTCACTTAATCAGTAGCATACAGCACCACAAGTTTCTTTAACCTGAATAATTTCGGTTACGAAATCAGATTGCGGTTAAATTTAACCTCGCAGTGAGTGAATTACAAATCGTATATTAACTCGCAAATTGCGAGTATTACTAATGCGCTCAACTAACTATCAGGAACTCAAGGTGTTTCAACTGATTTGATTCTCTGAGATGAATCACATTGAGCTTACCACTGATGAGCTGAACTCCAGTTTAGCGAAACGGCCCTCTGGTGTACAGATCGCTTCGATCTGGCTAGTAAGCACAACCGGTTGATGCAAGTAGTAGGTTAGTCAGTCAGTAATATATGTCATCAGGCGTTTTTGTAACATGGTTCAAGTTTGAACTTTCCGACTGATTTGCAAACAGTTTATGTTTTACTTTTACCATATCGGGTGCTACATATTCTGAACCAAGAGATAAAAAAATCTTCAGATTTAAGAAGTGTGTTAGCCACCTTAGTACAAACTGGTTTATTTACTATCAGTTGTCTGTTTCAGCCAAAATCTTAAGGAGAGTTTGAATAAGGAAACTCAAACAACAAATAATTAGATATATAATAATGAAGTTTTCAAATACAAGAACAAGAAATTTAACAAGATCAAAATATGATATCACTTTATTTAACAGAACTTTATCAACAGCATACAACTTAAATAGAACTTAAATATCAGTCAACATGTGCAGAATAAACTACTTATTCTATTAATTAAGTTGATACTGAAACTTTCCATACTGCTGACCGATTGGTATAAGTAGCTGAATGCCATTGATATCAAACAGTAATATTTACCAGCCAAATCAAAGTGAAAACAACCAGAGAAGTAAAATAACGTTATTGTATATTGCCAAACTTTTCTTTTCAATTTGTATGATATCACATAGAACAGAGTTGGAATCTGGTGAGCTACAAATGAAAATATGTACAAACGGTTAATAGTGGTGTTTGGATAAGTGACAGTGCATGGTGTTGCAAAAATGAAAACTAGTTGACCAGTTAATTTAAAAGTCTGTCAAGGAATACACCGCCATGAATTCACTTGTTAGGTCTCTCAGATCTTCAGTAATATGTATCCAGTAACTATTCACATCTGATAAAAATCAACTAGTCAAACTAACTTTTGATTACAGAGTCATTTAGTTAAAGTTACTGTAAAAATGAAATCCACGACGTAGATTACGTTCTCCTTAAGACATGTCAACTGGATCCATCTGTATTTCAGTCAGTGAAGGTGTTCCTATGAGACTCTGACCTAGTACCTATCGTTTCGAACACCAAGATGCTATCTATTAAAACGCTAGGCCACGAAAGTCACATTTTGTGCGACCAGTGTCAGTTATTTGTTCATATAGTTATTTTGAACTTCCTGATAACTAACTATATTGGGCGTAAATTTCCTGTCTCCATCGAGATATTGGAGGATTCGACAATGTTAATCTAATATTTCTAAATCGTTGTTACAATACCAAATAATGTAAACGATTAAAAAGTTGTTGGGATCGTAAACGGAAATCTCGAATAAGAATGAGCGAGAATTCTGAATCTCAGTATAATTTGCTACTATGTGAAAACCACTGACTTCTAAGGATAGCAAATATGAGCGAAAAATATAGACAAGGGGACTGAGAAAATACAGATCAGGGTATTCCATCATCAAAATAGCAACTTCGTTAAAGGAGTGGAAGTTAAATAAATAAACGAATACTCTGTGTATTCAACATCCACATAAAATTGTATCAATTCCCTATAGGATACATTATGCAGAGTGAGTTACTGTCGCCTTTTTAATGGCAGTCAATGAAAGAAGGATAGTCGTATTTTTGTGTACTATTAGAAACAGTTATATATATATATATATATATATATATATATATATATATAATCGCAAACTGATCTAAAGAGGAATCTAAAGTGAATAAAGTCAGGTAATCACCTAAAGGGATCTTCAGTAGCCGTAAAATATTCCACATCGGTTCTTGTTCATTATTGTAATGGTAGAAGACGAGAGACTTGGTATAGGAATGATTACTTACAATTTGGTATCGCCATTTAGAAAAATTATGTACACCTCATCTTCAGCGTACCATTTGCACTAATCTTCTGTGTTGTGCTGATTCTCTCCCTCCTTCATACTGTGTTTCTTTGTCTCCTTTTCATGTCTCCTATGTATCTCCTCAACGTTGAATCATTTGCTTTCTCTGACGTCAAATATCTCTCTCTGCTATTTGATGTTTGTATGCCGATGAGCGTTTCTTTATGTATTACTGATAAATCTTATCTATAGCACATGCCAGAGTATGAGGTGAAAGGAAGATTTCGAAATTTCATCATATGAAGATGATATGATTATGAGCAATAACTTGTACTCGAAACTTCATAAGTAAATATTACTGAATAGCACTGTGACTTTATCGAAATAAATTTTATCCATAGTGGAATTATACTCTATCACAATACCCAGTTTTTATCCTTACGTCAAAAATTTTGACCTATCAGATACTGAGCCCCTCTGAATATCTCGTATTGTATATAGTAATTTTTTTCCTTCACGTTTCCCAGTGGAACACAGGGCCTCAAGCTAGTGGCTTGAAGTTTCTGTAGCAGTGTTTATTTAACAGGATGGGAGTGCTAGCCTCATGCCCAACCTTTCCCTTTTTACTAGCATTATTTCTGGCTTAGCGAGGTGACCAGTG